CCTTGCTGCTCAAGATAAAAAAAACTGGACTGTAAGAATCATCTCAAACTCCATAAATCTCGGTTCATAGTTCAGAGTAAAAGCCCTTCAATAGGAGACACAGGGCATCAGAGCAAGATTGAGCGCCCGGCCAGAATTTATTACTGGAGAAGTGGCAACATCTCTCCCAGCCCAAGCACGATGAAATACTCTTGAATAGTGTGTGCCGAAGGCAAAGCACTGCTACAAGCACGGCAGGAAAATGAACTAGTTGATTATTCACTCCTAAGGGGCTAGGACCTAGCAGAACAGTCGTCGATGACTTCTCAAGTAGCCTTCCTTTATGTACCGACACAGAAAGCGCTGGCCACTCCAAAGAGTATCATTTTTTCCTTTTGATAACCTTCCACCAATATGATGGCGTCACCAATTTGGAGCTCTCGGCCTCATTGCTTCTCTGTGACCAATTCATTTTCGTTACTGTAATTTTTTCCCATCTTGTACATTACTGTTAGAACTGCTGGGGCAACGAAATCTTCTGGATTTTTTTTCTGATTTTTTTTTGCTTTCTTGACTCCAATAGAAATTAAACTTTCCAAGAACCTTCTTCAAAAGTACAATGCCACATGGTGCCACTTGACAAATGTGATCTCCCCTAAATTATCAAGATTCACCAACCGCCCCTCTCGCATCGTTCCGCGCGCAGCGGACAGTTGTTTTTGCCTCGACGCCTCATATTTTTCCATCCTACAGCGTAACTTTGCTTCGTTAATTTATGGCTGTGGCTGAACTACCGATTAGTCAGTCTGAAAACTGGCCCTGACATCAACATCTCGGTAGAGTTTCATTTCCACAAATTTCACATCTACGTTGGAGTTCCCCACTAACCATCCTATTCAGAGAATATTCTGTAGTGAATGATGGCATCAATACAATGCTGAATAATAAGCTATTGTGAATGGGCCTTTCATGCTCTAATAGATTGATGTTTTGCTCTCTGCTTGTTGTTGTGGTCAAAATTTTTGAAAGCTGCTTCAGATAAATTGTGAGGGTTACTGTATCCGAATGGAAGCAGAATCAATGTACAATATTTGAGAAAACACTCACTTAGTTCTTTGACCAGGAACACTACTAGATGCTTATCACACCCTCCCATTATTTAACTTTACCTGTTAGTTTCTCTTATCATTGCCTGTTGCTTTTTCGGAATCGCTTCCTTTTTCTCCAAAATATGAGAGAGACCGAAAACACAACAATCAGATAACATTAAATTACATTATTATTATTGCTATTGCTGTTGTTATTGTTATTGTTATTATTATTGTTATTATTATAATTTATTATGTAATAGAATAGACCCACTTGTTGAGGAGCTCTCCTGTTCTATCACCTTTTCAGACTTTGAATAGCAAAATAGTAAGAAAGTAAACTTTGAATATAAATGGTAACGTATTTAGCATCGACCCTTTCTCTTGATGCGTATTCACTTCTTTTCACAATCGTGGTGGCATTTTGAATGCGATCTGTCATAGTTGGCTTGCAGAAGCCAGCAAATGTACATGACAGATTTTACCCTACCAGGCAAGTCTGGTAACATAACCGACATCGGACGGATGGAAAGCTTGGTTGGCCTGGACGGCTATGATCTAGGAATTGTTCCACGGTATCGTTCGGGCGGTAAGCAGCGCCACTTGCACTACACTTACATACTCTTTGACTTACCATTATCTTGAAACGAATATAAGCCCAAACTTAAATATTCAAGTATTTATTACCAATTTTCTGGATAAGATATTACAATTATTTTTGTTTCTTTGTTTTGCTTTATGTTCGAATAACACGAGTCCTGGTTTTATTTGGGCGCACCTAAAGTGCAGTTTAAATAAATAAATAAATAAATAATAACTTCAGGTCCTTCCTTCTTCCTGAATGCTTCCAGATCGTCTTCTACAAAACTCAACCTCGACTCCATTACGCTTCCAACCTTCCTACAGGTCTTATTAGGAGATCTCTTATGTCTTGATGTTGAGTTCGGTTCCTTATTCCGTTTCTATGGGGTGTTTTGAACACAAATGACCAAACCAGTTTATAATCATCGGTCATAATAGTAATGTAAAGGTTCATGTGGTTGCTACACAGTTGTGGTTCGAGATATTTCATTCAGCGAACTGCAAGCCCCCCGCTCCCCATAAGACTACTCCAGGTATCCAAGCGAGAAACGTTCTGTGTGTCTTGAAGCGGCTATTCCACAGTCATGCCTTGAAATCCCAATAGCCTTCGGGTCGACGACGGTCGAACGGAGCCGTTGCAGTGCTTTTAGAAGAAATCGAAGAATCAACAAAAGCTTTTGTAGAACCTTTCTATGGCCAATGGTGCACCTCAAGTGAATAAGTAGTGATGATGGATTGGGTGGTTTATCTCCAGGTCTCGTTCAGAGCGAAAATCTAAAACCTCCATTAAAAAGGGGGAGAACAATCCCTTTGGTGACTAGAAATTTCTACTGGATCAATGTTCCCGTCTCTTATCACCACATCGCTCGCCGACGGACGTCACTCGTGGGAAACATTCTGTAAAATTGATACATCCCTCGGAATTGATACATCTCTCACAAAGTTTCACTGATCAATACAAACCATATTATGGAATGAAATCGATCAAGTACGAGTTCTTTTTCTTCCTTCCTCCTCTTTTTTGGTTTTCACTTCTTTCCTTTTTATATTCCTTTCTGGCTTTTTTACGCAAGATGAGGCTGGTATCGAAAGCAGCCAGAAGTGTAGCTGAGGAACACGTGGGATGAAAAACCACAGGTGCGTCACCCAGGATGTCTTAGCCTCTGGCTAGAAAAATATTTCTCAATGAACTTCGGTGAAGTTAGAGATAAATCTTAACTTGGATGGTCTTGAAAATATGACTAGAAAAATGGGATCAAAACTGGTGTTCGGACTGAAATTAACGCTCCATAGCATATGGTAAAAGGCAGCGGGGTTTGCTAGAATCCACGCCTTCTACAAGTTTCAGCGGTCAAAAGGGCTGGTGCAGCTAACCGTCACTATGCCGCGGAGGGTTCGACTCCCTGCGGTGAAATTTGCATTTTATGTTGGCATTTACAGGTTGGGGTAGACGGTGTTGTTGCTAGAAATGGGACCGGGCTAATTGATAATTTCTACGAAGCAAATTTGCAAATACTAGCGAGAAACATTGCGTCGTACAAATGGAGCTAAACAGCTACTACAAATGGACACGCTATAGCGAGTTCATGAACAAAGTTTCAGAATGTTGAGATTTTGGGCCTGATCTCAACAAGCACCTATTGTGACGAACGAATTCTAAACAATTCCCCAGTTCTCCTTCCAGAAAAGAAGGACCCTATCAGAATATAGCACTAACGGACACTCAGCCTACTGGTGATGGCTAAGAGGCCACAAATAATAGCAAAATGAGAAGTGTTTTCCTCAACCAAGGAGTACGTGGTGGCAGTCCTCGCCGCATTCCTCAAACTAAGTCTAATGGGAATGTTGGCCTGGTGGGGCAGTGAGGGTGGTGGGTCGCTGACGACACCAAAGGCGACTTTTTCGCGGTTTCTGCGCTGTGCGCAACTTTTTCGAATGGGCGAACCGCCAGGTCACTCACGATCAGGAGTGAACCTATACCACGAAAACTGGGGGAACACGGCAACTTGACTCCTTTTCCAGTTTTATAATCTGACAGAATTCCCGTTGACCACGAATCTGGAGTTGCTACGTAATCAATCGGGATTTGTTGTTTAAAACAAGAACAACATGCCATTATGGGGTTACTGAGTATTTAGACGTCACCTCAGTGGTTGCAGCAGCAATGCTGTAGCCACCTCCTCATTCTCATGGTCAGCAATTTGTTGCCCTTATCCCAAAAACAAAATACATTTGAAAGGAGCTGGCTTGTTTCTGGGGAAAGTAAGCCATGATTGAAGTAACCAAGATAAAGCATGAACCCATTGCCCAATGGGCACCTATTGGACTATGAGTAAATGTGAGATGTATGGCGCAATCCGGAACCATGGTGAGCGAGTGCCAACTAGTTGATCTCTGCACTTTTGTGTGTCTTTTTCCAAGGCTATTTTCGTAATGTATACATTCACGGCACAGTTGGCTCCAGGCTTTCTGGCTATTGTTCGAATCAATGTCCCGTTACTCAACTTTCTTGTCCGCTTTAGAAGCCCAGTTTAGCACCATGCCTGATTCCTGAAAAAGGCTCTGAGTACATGACCAATCTTTGAGACTTTCCTTTCTACAGTTTCATCCCTTCCCACTGGCCTCAAATTTGGCCTCAGAGGCCGTTTTAGAGACCTTAGGCGTCACAGGCTTAGGCGTAGCTACCGCCTTCTTCCCTTGACAGATTTTTGGAATATGAAGCATGGGAAGTACACATGATTACTGCTGTGAATCACGATCGTGTAAATTCGACTCAAAGTTGTTTTTGCCTGTTGGGAGTAGGGGGAGGGCATAGTTGGAGTGTGCCAACTGGGCAACTTGTAGGCTCAGTGGCACTGTTGACAAAATTGACTGAAGAGGGGTATTGGTCATGATAGAGGGAGAGGTTCCCACCGATTCTTTCGTCAGAGAGGAGAAGTTTTGATCGGCCACTCCCTTTGTGAGGTATTCACCATGATATTATAGAACGAACGCAGCCAGGAAGAATCAAAAGGGGTCGCACGGAGCCCCATTCAGGAACTGAGGATATGTTCACTCCCACTTCTTTCTCGATAGCTAACCCTGATCGAGCCTTCTCTCTCATAACCCAAGAACCCACTTACATTTTTGATTCTGGTATCAAGAGATAGCTCCCGAGAAATTTTGACGAATCTAATGTTTTTGAGTCCCCTCTTGCTCTCTACAAAAGATATTATATGTATAATGATATTAAAACCATTTTAAGGTTCTTCCATCGATGGACGCAGACTTGCGTAACCGAAATGGATCTGCGTTATCAAATGGGAGTACGAGCCGGTGAAGGAGCATAAGGCGGTCAAGGATCCGCGCAAAATGGCCTTCAAACTGAAGGAATTCAAAACGAGGGAATCGCTTCTCACGTGAGATTTCTCAGATCTTATTTACAAAGGGGCCTTGAAGAGCTGACAAATCCCATGTAGCCTACTCTTCCAGGCTCCTTTGTGAAAAGCTTCACGGATTTTTCACCAAAAACTAATCAACTTCTTCTAGTGTCCTCTTCCGTGAAACGGAAATGAGCGTGGTCTACAACATTTTCGCCGGCACCTTCATCCTTTTCTTCCTCAGAGCTCTGATTGATGACATCTTCACACATGGCATGTGAGAGACTACTAGTTGATTTCTTTCAGTCGGACCTCACTTCAGCCTACCTAGGTCGCACCCTGTGGCGCAGCACACGCTCTCGCATCAGGCTGGCCGTCGTCGGAAATTCTAAAGATTAGGGGCCCATCTGTTAGTTGTCTGTACTCATTACTGTAGCAATTTTGTTCCAGGCCATTCCATCATTTCTGGCTTATCGGATGGAATTTCAAACATTTTCTACCAACGATGCTTGTTTGGTCGCTGATGTTTCTTTCTACATTTTTGCCCTACGCGACATTCAAGATTTGGGCACACGCCCCTGCTAAAGTCGTTAGCGTCAAGTCTGAGGTACTTCGTTATTTTCATGCTATGTAAGGGTGTCCAAAAAATGATTGGCGTCGAAATTCAAGAATTAATTCAGTAAAATACTCGACTTGTTCTTCTTATCTGCCTCTGAAATGAATTTTCGGCAAAAATCATCGCTAATCAATCAAATTTCAGCTTCCAATGCTCACTGCTTACATCGTTTATCTTACAACATTCTTCTATTTCCCCCTTAAATTTCTATTCTCCTGGGAACTCAACTGTGCGTGCTCATTCATAATTACATGCGAAACGGTGAGTCTTTAAGGAAATTCCTTCTTCACAGTGTTGTTTGAATTCACCATCATTCTCACGGAGAATACAGTAGGGCTACGTGACGTAAGTAAAGGTGAAGTATCAGGATTACAGTAGCACACCTTCTTCTACTTCAAAGATACATCACTATCACTATCTATGCTGTAATTTAGAGCATGCTGGAAGAGATGAACACATAAATAGATGAACATGTTGAATGGTAACCTTGTCAAGAGACCTTAGACAGCAGTCTTAACAAAGTCCTTCTGGGCGCAGAGATAAAATTGGGGCGCTGGACTACTAATTTTATGGTAGAAAATTTTGTTTCAAAGCAATAACCTCAGATCAAATCTGTTGGGTTACAGCGATCGATCAAGAAATTGTGGATGACGAGATACTGAAAATGAAAAAACATAGCAAACTACAGATGAAGTCCTTGCGCAAACACTTCCCACCCTTTCCCTTAAACGAGGAGGGCGCTCCGGACGAGTTGTTCGAATTTAGTTGCTCCATGGATCTACTAGCCCGAGCATACTCGGTTTAAGTAAATGTATAGCTACGTTGTAATCCACGCTATGGAGTGTGAGCGAGATGCCTCGTCCATTAGCTCCCACTGTAGTCTCTAACGCCGTCGCCGCACACTTTGGAGCCGCGACAACGGCACATGCGGGTGTCCCCCAACAGGCCCACCGCGCGGCGAAGCAAGAGACGCAGACGCGGCAAAGGGACGAGTCGCAGCGCATACTGTAGCGGTTAGGCGTCAGGTTAAAGAGAGTGTACCATACTACGTCTCATATCGCACAGCACGCGCTGCAACTCGTCTCTTTGCCGCATCTGCGTCTCTTGCTTCGCGCGCGGTGGGCCTGTTGGGGGACACCCACAACTGCCATGTTGACGGGTACTTTATCCCACCCACAGTCATCGATTGGTTGACACGACATCATCTCAAGGAGTTGTTTCTTCAGAGCTAGTAAGAAACTAAGTAGTGAATTGCTCGGTGTTGGTTGATTCCCTCGCGTTACGAGTCCAAATTTTGTCAAGGATCGCAGAGACTTGGAGCATAGACTTGGCATTCTTATAAGTCCCTGCTTGCAGACACGAATCGCTATGAAACTGCACTCGTTTCTGCGTGAGAATATGCCACGGGCTATCGCTAGGAAGACAAGCGGAGCAGTAGTACAGGTGAGCATTTTATGTAAGAAGGAGGGAACATTTTGCCTCAAGTCGACAGCTAAGAAATATTCTGCCCTGAAGGTTCACTTGTAATGGATTAAATATTGTACTCCTCTCGAAACCTGTATTGTTAGCAAACATTCATAATGACTAACCAAACCTGTATGCCTTCGCTCGATTGCTATAAGATCCACCTCTCAGGGTTGAAAGACTGCTTAGTACTTCATAGGCTTGCCTTAGAAGTCATTGTATTGTCCAAAGCATTCAAATTGCCTGGTACAATTCTAAATAGGAGTGGAGTGCGTGGCGCATCCCAGAAGGGATTGGTCAGCACCTAAAGCTTAATTTTTTATCCTCCATCGACGTTTCCATTGACATCCCGATGCAATCATGAGACCCTTACTTTTCTTGCAAGTGGCCTCCAAGTGGGTGTCTGGCTGGTTGTTCTTTGTATTCCCCTTTTTGAGCCCATTTCAAGCCTGTAACGCACTTCGCAGTTCTCGGCCTTTTTAACAACACCACTTTTTCCACCAATACAAATACAAGCATAAATTAGCCAGGCACCATTTCTGAATGGCCCAGTGTGGAGCAATACGTGTACTTCATGTTCTGTCCGTCGTTCATCTACCGGGATGAATATCCGAGGTAGGTCAACTCATTGTTCTTTCTATGATATCGAAGGAGCAGGGGGTTGTGACTAGCAATTACCGACCATGCATCGGTTTCCTACCCTCTGCGTCTCCACCTGGCCGGAGAGTAGTTTTCTTTGCTCGGACTAGGACTCCATGCTCGTAGAGACGCCAGTACTTTAGATGTCAAACGCAGACATACCGGTCCATCCCCGGCCGGCGAGTTGCCTCCTTTTTTATACGGCCTTAGAACACAAAAATTGGAACCTAATTCCTTTCCTATTTCTGTGACACTGAAAACTTTTAGAGGGCATTCCTACTCTCGAAAAGCTATAAATCAGTTGTTATCGACATAATACCAGTTCCTAGAGGACGATAGATGAAACATAGGGTTTATACTACGCGATTTTCTCGTGGTGTCGGTATCGCGAGGGACTTTTTAGAACCATTCCCTGAAAACACGTCCTGTTTCTATGCCCCAACTAGAACTCCCCATTAGCTCAATAAGTTCCTGCGTCTTCTAGCCCGATTTGTGCTCTCCAAGACCGCAACTCGCAAGGCTGAAAAACGCCAATAATGCTATATTTCCGGTCGGCCATGGCGATATTTTTCTTATATCAAGAATATTTTAGAACTGATACAAGATGCCTCAAAAAGGCAGCTGTGCACTTTCTCCATTGCTTCATACTGATCGAGTTTGTCAATTTGCAATTCACACAGTATGTTCTTTCCATGGATGGATTCACAAGATGTGAGTTTTTCGAAGCAGAAAGGCTTTTACCTTTCAAATAAAATTTGTTGAAAACAACCTGTGATGCTCAAACTTTCCGACTAATCGGCTTTCCTTACAGTATACAACCTTATCAGTACGCAGTATCGTACTTTCGTTATTCGCCGGTATTGTACCAGGCATTGTGTGCCTTGTTCTCGCTATTTTATGGTCTTTTACACTCATGGTTGAACGGGTTCGCCGAGCTGATGCGTTTCGGTGATCGGCAATTTTATATGGTCAGTTTATTTATTATGTGTAGACAAAGTACAAATACAGTAAGTACAAAGTAGCAGGGGGGGGGGTTCTTTGGATTAGCGCAATGGACTTATAAACGACTCCATTGCAACAGTTCTGTAGCATAAAACGAAGAAACAACGGTAGACTTATCTGATACTCTGC